ACTACAAACTCGTAAATACGACGAACCTCCTTTGTATAATACTATCTCAGACTTAAAATTGCATCTATACATATAGCTCACTATTTTTGGTTTACTTTGTGTTCAATAGCCTCTTATATGTATCTCCCCCATGGAGACTAGTCTTCAATTACTAATTAACGTATCCCCAATCTGACATTACCCACATGCATACCCACACAAACATGACACATATACACTTAGTAGGTGTTTGGGATTGCTTCTCTACTACTGAAAAGCACATCTATTTTAAAAAACTGCGGTACAATGTGCTTGGTGGGAGAAAAAAAGCTCTTATAGTTGGTAGAGGTTATGTCTAAAAAGCTCGTTTAAATGAAATTAGAAATCGTAACTTTTAAAATTGCGTTAAGGTAGATGTCCATGTTTTTAGGTAACTAATTTTCTTTTAGGCAATTTAATCCCTTTATATTTTTTATAAATACAATTGTATCCCTTCTACAAACAAATAGCAAACAATATGGACTGTGTAACAAACTAAAATCCTAATTTATTTTAGGACTCTCCAACCTTCCAATCTCAGTTTATTTTGGGACTCTCAATTATATAATTGTTAGATGTTTAATTTTTAATAAATTATGATTTATAATTTGTTTTTAAAATAACTATAATACATTTATACTATTATCTTATATAACGAGTAATAAGATTATTAATTGTAGTTAAAGTGCTTAGTTTTATTTTATGAAATGTTGTCTATATTGCAAAATATTATATTATTAAATTTCATTATTCGATAGCATATGAACAAATTTGCTTATTTTATTACTAGAAGATCCCAAATTAAATACAAATTAATCATCATTAAAATATGTTTAACTCATTTATATTATTAGTACTCAATACAAATTCAATATCATAAACAAAATATGTGATATTAAAAAATAAAATAAATAAAAAATAAATAAGAAAAAAGTTGATCTTTATAAATTATTCAACTCAGTGAAATTTTACAATATTTAATATTAGAAAATTAATATATGTTTATTGTAAGGGTAATATAGTAAAATTAGTAATAAAAGTGTTTTAAGCAACATTATTACCAAACAAATTTAAAAATACTTTAAATATATATATATAAAATAATAATAAAAAAAATAAAAAAATATTTTATACAATGTATCACCAAACGCTTAACTTATTGATAATACTTTTATAACAGCTTTATTATTAAAAATATTTTTAACATTCTAACGATAACCCCAAACCGGCTCTTAATCCCCTTTCTTTCCTTTACAGATATGATACATATGGGCAGCCTAATTAATTAACAAAGCTTCCTTTGGAAGCTTCCCAGTGCAATCATTTGACACTAATAAGTGTCAGCAAATATCTTTAACCTACACCTCCAATTTCGTTTAGGTACCACCAAGCACGTGCAAGTTTTTCAATCCTACACTTCAACCCAAGAATATTGAAAAATATACCAGGCTAAAGTTATTACTCCACTTTCATTAATGAAATCCGACTAAAGTTACACTATCAACCTTAATCATTTAGAATGATAAAGAAACGATTTCATTAATGGAAGTGGAGTAATATCTTTAGCCTGGTATATTTTCCAATATTCTTGGGTTGAAGTGTAGGATTGAATAACTTGCACGTGCTTGGTGGTGCCTAAGCGAAAAATAACCCATCAACTAAATATGCAACCCAAATTCTAATTAAAATAGGCTCATAATAGCAAAAAGAGAATTAAATAAAACTAAATAAAAATTCGGGATCTTACAATAGGGCTCATATATTGGTAGGCTAACTTTAGCGAGAAACCACAGAGGCCTTCTCTAAGGGCCTGTTCGGTTAGTGTTCTACTGTGTTTGTAATGTTCCAGGCCTGCTACAGTAACCCATTTTAAGAACAAAACATGTTTGGGCCGGCCTGCGTTGGTTTCAACAATGCCAGAATATTTTTTAAAAATGGGCCAAAAGTTGGAACACCAAATTTGGTGTTCTGGCTTGTTCCAAAAATCCAACCGGCCCAAAAATCACTGTAGCGGGTGCAATAAATGCACCCACTTGTTCTGATTTGAGAACATGTATAAAGAGAAAATTGAGTACATGTTCTAGGGCTAAGGTTCTCATGCAGCTGAGGCGATTCGCGGCGACTCCAGTACGGCTGACGTCTTCTACAAATTGATGGCCCTAAATTCATGGCGAGCTCCTCTGGATCTTCGTATTTCATGTGCAACATACTTTAATCCTTCTTCTGTCTCTAAAATTTCAACTATGTGTGAAGATTGGGCTTCAAACCGACAACTGTGTATGAAGATCTGAAAAGCTCTCTCTTCATCGCGTCTCTCTCCACTCTCGAATTCTCTTCTCTGTTTCTCCGGCCGATTTACGCCAACGAGAAACGCCGGCAACCGTCTGCAACTTCCAACTAGCTCCAGTCTTCTTCTCCGACAATGGTTTGGCAAGAAAAGCTCCGGTCTTCTTTTCCCCAAGCTCTCTATCTCTATTTCCTCATCTCTCTCATCTCGCGTATGTTTTAGTTTTTTTAGGTTTGCTTTATGCTTTCAAATCATACTTAATAACAATAATGTTGAAGCATTTTATCAATCAACCAAGATGATTCCTCATCTCAACAAATAGGCATGAAAATGAGATTCACATTGAAGAAGGTAAACAGATTTAGGAAATATAACAGAGAAATAAATTTCAGTTTTCTATAATCGGCAGTATTTAGGAAATATAATTTGTTTTTAATTTTTTTGAGATTCACATTAAAGAAGGTAACAGATTTAGGAAATATAATTTTGTTTTTAATTTTTTTGAATTTTTAATCAATATATGCATGTTTGAAATTGGTATTTGCAATCAATCCAATAAAAAGAGTTCTGCAAAAATCTGATAGGCCCACTCTGATAGCACATATCAGAATTAAATAATGTGATAAGATTTTGTTATCTTATCAAGCCATTATATTTTGAATTTTAATATTGTTGATGCTCCACGGGTTGTGATAGGGACCTCTGAAGCACGAACACTCCTCGTAGGAGTTTTGTGCCAGTGTCGGACACTTTTTGAACACCGACACCCGTGTTCGAGGCTCGGATACGTGTCTGACATTTTTTTCAGAAATTATTTTTTATTAGACATGGCTCGGACACGCGGAGGACATGGCTCGAACACGCGGGAGACACGGCGGGGTATATTTTGTAATTTTTTTTTAAAGATAAATGGAGTATCTAATGTAATTTATTAATTTAAAAAGTTTAAAAGTAAAATTTTGAAAAAATAAAAAAACAACTACAGACAATAGAGTATTACACAGGAAATTTATTTTCTCACTTCCTCTCAGTCTCTCCTCTTTTTCAATTATCTCTTTACATGAAGTCTCTCCTCTTTTTCAATTATCTCTTTACATGAACAAGATTTTTTTTTTTTTAAGTTACATGAACAAGACTTGGTAAAAAACTGAAAGTATATATGTTTATTCATATATATATTTAGCTCATTATAGCTATGTCTCTTCTATACATCTTCCTTTGGAATTTGGATTAACTTTATTTTTCATTTATTTTCTGTTTTGTCTTGTCTATATTTTTCTTATAACAGAGATGAAATTATTAAAATTAGTCTTGTTATTTGTTATTGTTTTATTTGTAATTTTGTATTTATATATACCTGTTCTAGTAATTGTATTTTGAATATATATATATATATATATATATATAGGCGTATTCCCACCGTGTCCGTGTTCTATTTTTTTGAAATTTGCCGTGTCACCGTATCCGTGTCGTATCGTACCCATGTCCCGTATCCGTGTCCGTGCTTCATAAATAAGGACAAACCTGACCCATAATCCAACACTATGGACCCAGCACTTAAAAATTCGAAACCTTCCCAAAGCACAAGGATCTTGGAATCATCGGTTAGATCTAAGGTGGGTGCATATTAGCGTTACAACTCGGGCGAGTTGAGAGGGTTCGAGGTATAACTTGAACCTAACACACTATATGAAATGCTAAATCTAAGTCCAACCCTAACCATATTCTCAACATTAACTACTCAACCCCAGTCCAACCCATCCTTCTACTTTTAAATTCTAGATTGCAACTCGAGCTTAGATTCCGACTAAAAATTTCGAATTAATTCGGATTACTCATATGGCTAATCTTTAGACCAAAAATTTAATATCATCTTGAATTAGTTTTAGATTTAGTTACTCTTAAACAAGAAAAAAGTTTAAAAACTTTCTGTAAATTTTTAATAAATTGCAAACAAATGTTTAGAAAATTTACCTTATGTCATATGCTTAAATGTGCTTAAATGCTCCGTGTAACACTTGCCTCCCTGTTTTTTTAAATGTGCTTAAATGCTTTAGATTTGAAATTGAAAAAAATTCAGTTTAAATTTTATACTAAATTTCTTCCTATTCTAAATTCAAAGTACCAATTTAATACTCCCAAGCATAGTAAAGTCTTTTGGTTAAATTAGAATTCAAAGGGTCTTTGCTGTTGTCGTGCTTGAGCCTAAAAAATCTTTACCTTATGTCATTTGTCAAAATGCAAAAATTAATAAGTGCACCGCCAAAAATGCATGTGACAATATATTCAATTTAGACTTAACAAGTACTTCGTGTTATATCACAAGTCCTATCCTGTGCCATTGTATTTGTGCATTTCTAATTATTTTCAGAATACTTAAAAAGTGTGCAAGTAAGACTTCGGGTATAAGAAACCCTACTTTGCCAAATAATTTTCTTGATTAAAAAAACTATATACAATACTCTTTGTTCTATGAAAACTACTTTTATTTTTTATTATAATTTTGCTTCAATTTACTTCTCTCCAAAATACTTGCCAACTGAGAAGCTGAGCAGTTGCCTATAACTAATTGAGGCTTCAACCTGAATATTTTAAAAACAATTTCCAACTTAGTTTACAAATCCTAATTCTTATTAATAAATAAAAAGACACAACAAAACAAATCAACCCTCAAAAACATCCAATTGAAAATGAATTAAACAAACAAAGGTTTTGCTATAATATTAGAATGGAGATATTTGTAACCTTAGTAAAAAGCGCACAGACGATATAATAGAAGAACTAGAAAAGTTCAATTTTGGTCAATCTCCATACAAGACTTTCATGTTTAGAAACAATCAGTGCGAGGTAACGACGGTCAAGTCCTCTTCGGTTATAATCGGTTGCCTCACTGGGTGATTAGCTCTGCAAAAGACAGCCTAGCACAAACCCTGAAACTAAAAATAACACTGAATATGAAGAGTTTCCCACAGCAACTGCTTAACCAAATGTCAGAAATAGTATATTCAACGCTAATAAGAAGCTACACAATCAAATTACAAGAAAATATGATGAGGGTCAAAATATTACTCCAGCATCAATTACGAAATGCCCGCAAAATGGGTACAAAGTTCACAACCTGCCAGCAAAAGCTGATATTCTGTGGAGCAAGGACTTCGTTCTAACGTGATGGTCGATACCCAGGTGCAGTTGGTGAGGAGAACAAATTATGCTCGCCTCATGACTGCTTACTCCCGTCATCCTTGTTGCTCATCTGTGGAGTGTACTGACTGGTAGATGATGGCGAATACCCGGGTGCACTTGGCGAATACCCTGCACTTGGACTGTGGAACAACCACAAGAAAATAAATGAAATAAGGAAACAAGGGCTCTATTATCTCAAACCAATATGTTTTATATTACAATCAGAACCAAAATATAAAATAATGGAAAATCAAAAGATATCAAAAACTGAATCCTGAAGAAGTTTCACCCACCTATATTGTGGTGAACTCGGGCTGTAGTCTGGGCTCACGCCAGAATTGTAAGGGCTGCAAAAAAATGGAACATATATAATTATTCAAGGACAAAAAGTAAAATTAAGACGTCACTACTCACGGACAAGACTTGCCTACTCACTGGTGAGTAGGTCATTCCTACTGACCGCTAATGTGGTCCAATCACAAATGCACAAGTAACTTGCAATTACAAAATCAAAAAAGTGCTAAATAAGGACATTAACTATTTTTGGAATAAATTCAGTCAACCTCTTTAATGTCCTTATTTATCACTTTCTTGATTTTGTAATTACATACTACTTGTGCATTTGTAATTAAACCACATCAGGGGTCAGTAGGAATGGCAAGTCTTGTCCATCACCTAGTGCAAGGAGAAAAGCATTGTTGACCTGATGATGTCCAATTACAAATGCACAAGTAGTATGTAATTACAAAATCAAGAAAGCTATTGCAAGTCTAATATTGCAAAATCAAAAAACAAAGGACAAAAAAGTAAAGTAAAGCAGACCCGCAAAAGTATTCTGAAAAACATTGCCTCGACAAATCAATGGCAACCTTCAAATACCGATGACAATATATTGGAAAAGCACCCTATTGGCCATCATCATCATCATCTCCGTTTGAACGCTTTCTAATACAACCTTGCTTAAAAATAAAAAAATAAAAAAATAAAAAAAATAAAAAATTGACCTTTATCCAATTATGGATGGGATCAATCATATGAATTCCCTTTTTTCATTCTTTTTTATTACAAACCACGTCTCCTGTCATATTTATTTTTTAAAAATAATTTCTAATTACTTCATTCCACACCAGTTTTGATCAACCTCTTTGTCCCCCCTTACCTTCTATGCAAATAAATTTACCTTTTCTTACGGGTGCATCCATATGTCTCCACTATATATGACCATACCACCTAAGGTCTACTTTTTCTTATTTTATCACTAACAAGCATAAATCTTACTTTCTCCCTCGCATGTTGATTATCAATCCTATATTTACTAGTCACTCATATCATTCATTTTAAAATTCTCTTGCTTTTTATTATAACCTCATAAAATGAGTGTTTTGCCAAAAACCCTTCAAGATTCCAGTTGCAATACAATGTGAACGAGTCATTATCTCTTTCCCTCATGTTGGCTCTAAACTAAAATCAGTGTACTTGAAGAAAATCGATAATTTAGAAAATGACAGGAAGAAAAATAGGGTAACAATTGTATGGGGGTGTGTTTTGTGTGTGTGTGTGTGTGTGTTGTGCAGGGGGAGGAGAGAACTAAGAGGGAAGCTATGGTTGGGAAAGTCATTCGGGGAGGTAGCAAGGCTACCTCGACTACCCACCAGTGGCAAGACTAGAGTTTTCCCACCATGAGAGACAAGAGGGCTTTGTTTTAAAGTGGAAGATGGGGGTATTTGAAGGTGCTTCAGGCATGTCTTGCAGTTGACGTTATACAAAGATGTGGATTCACTATAGAAAATAGCAAAGTGGGCATTGAAGGCGGGGTGTGTCGAGCAAAGTAGGGTTATCGCCAACTGCCGGATTCCTTGCTGCCATAGTTGTTAAAGGCGCGCCTAGGCTCCAAAAAAGCCCCAGGCTTGTCAAGGCTCAGCTAGAGCGCCTCAACCTACGTTAGGCCAGGCCCTTCAATCAGGCTCACATAAAACCCTCAGGCTCACGCTCACGCTCACGCTTTTTAGTAGGCTCCAGGCTCATAGAAGGAGCGCCTTGTATTTTTTAATCATCTATTCATATCATTTTCTTTTTTACTTGATGACTACTAAACTAAAAGGTTCTATATCATATATTGTATTGGTCAACCTTATGAAATATTTGACAAAATTCATAAATTTATGGTTCAGTACTTACAGTAACTGCAATTACTACTATTATGCATATATATAATAATATATGTTTAAATATGCATTACTATATACACGCGCCTTACTTCGATTAGGCTTGCGCCTTATACTGCGCCTTGCGCTTAGGCTCCGGAAGGCCTTTGGCGCCTTGAGCCTTTAACAACTATGCTTGTTGCTATTCCAGTTGTCACATGCAGAGGCAATAAGGGTTTTGTTGGAGGGGAGGAGAAAGTGGGGAGAAGCAATGTTTGGTGTTTCAGGGTGGGGTGCTTTTGTATATTTAAGGAAAGAAAGGAGAGAAGACTACTACTCTATGGCCTCATTAGATGTCTGCTGTCACTCTTTTCGAAACAATTGGAATCCATGTGGGGGGATTCAAAATGGCTGAGGCAAATGCGATGATTGATGCTGCGAAGGTAACCATAACCGCAAGGGATGGAGGCGGGATCGTTTGGGTGGAAGACGAACAACTATGTTACAAGGGCAATGGTGGAGGAGAGACTGCTAGAATTAGTGCCGACGTAGTACAGGTCATGCGCTTGAGACGTGTGGGGAGGGAGTGAAGGTTAGGGAGACATGTGGAGGAGTCTCCTTCAACAACCATAACTTATGGAGGGTAGCTGGTGGGATGCATGGCAATCAAGGAGTGGTGAAAAAGGGGAATCGATCACGTGATGAGGTGATATCCGATTTGAAATTTGTTGGGTTGGGCAGAGTTAACTAGAGAACAAGTGGCAATCATTGGGCTCACCCTTGAATAAATGAAAATTGTTCATGGGATAAATAAAAAATAATTAAAAAAAGGCCCATTGCAGCGTACCCAGTGGGAGTTAAAGAATGGCCCAATCACCAAATGAACACCAATTGTTCCAACTCTCACACTTCTACCTCTCTAGGGACTCGGGGATCCCAAGGTGGAGAAGTAGTGAGCGTTGGACACTATCAACAGTGGAGGGGGTTGGACTTGGAGTAGGAGGACAAGGGAAGAGGGGGAGAACAAGCAAGCCATAAACATTAAGGAAAATAAGGAGGGAGGACTAACCCTATGTGTAGGGAAAGGTATTTAGTTGAGACTGGAGAGGGATTTACCAAAATCTTTGTTGGCAGAATTGAGGTTTCACAGAGGTTTCTGAGAGCTGAAAAAATAGTGATATAAATTCAGTTATAGTGGGGACTCATTTATAGCACTCCCGACAAGAAATATTCCGGGGTGTGGTGTGAGATCTATCCCGCTATCGTACTTGGGCTTGCCTTTGGAGACTCATTTCAGTAGGGTTGCTTCATGGGACCCTATGGTAGAGCGGTTTGAGAGGAGGCTAGGGTGGAAGCAGCAGTATTTTTCAAAGGGGGGTCGCAAAATCAAGTCTTCCACAACCTACTTATCCTTATTTCAGGATCACTCCTTGGTGGTGAAGAAACTTCAGAAGCTCGAAACATTTTATGGGTTGGTATAGGTGAAAGGTTCAAGTTTCACTTGGTCAGAAGGTATGTAATCCCATTCAGATGAAGGGATGGGATGTTAGGAGAATTAGCTTATTCAACAAAGCTTTGTTGGAAAAATGGATTCGGAGGATTATTGTTTGCAAATTTGGAGAGGATTGGGGTGGGTGGAGATCTGGGGAGGTGAGGATTCCAACAAGGTGGGGGTTTAGAAGTTCGTCCAAAACGAGTGGGATGAGTTTTCAAAACATATTCAATTTAGGGTAAAAAGTGGGAGACTTGTGCAGTTTTGGATTGATATGTGGTGTGGTGATGGATCTCTACCATGCACTTTCCAAAGATTGTTTAGGATTGTTGCGGATAAACAGACTTCGATCGCAATTGTTATCAACTCAATAACAGGAGGACAACTTGGGATGTGCAGATGGTGAGAAATATTAATGATTGAGAGGTAATTGATTTCAAAGAGTTGTTGGCTATGCTTACCGCCAAGAGGTGGGGATGGAGTGGATGAGCATATTTGGATGGGTGATAGTCAAGCAAGCCAGATTTGATGTTTGATTATTCTATCAGAGACTGTAGGAATTTTGAGAGCATTCTTTTTCCTAAAAGGCGGTTTGGGGCACCAAAGCCCCTCCAAAAGTGGCGCTCTTTGGGTGGATAACAACTCTAGAAAGGATCTTAGACGATTGACAATTTATGCTTCTTTTGGTACAAGGATGAGGGAAAGAGGAGAGACAGGAGGGACGGAACAAGGCTCCATTATTTGGTAGGAGAGAGAATTGAAGGGAACTAGGGAAGTGATGGATGAAGGGTTGAGCCATCCCTCCTAGCCCACCATTTTGCTTCCATCCGAATATAAGAGGAAGAGAACAGAGAAAAATAAAGTGTCTTACAAATTTTAAAAAAGCATCCACATCCTTATTTTTATTTATATATTTATATATTTAAGGGTATATTACCAAAAAAAAAAAAAAAAATTCTATTAACCCCCTTCTATCCAATCAAATAAAATAAGTGATGACCAATATCCCTTTCCTAGGAATGCTCATTCATCCCATCCCCCCCCAATCTCCCTTCCATCCAATTTTCCATCCCTCCCACCAAACAGAGCATTGAGGAGGAGACGGAAACTAGTGAATTGGTGTTGCATGTGCAAAGGGGATGATTTAAGGAGGCAATGAATCATCTCCTTTTGCATTGTTGCGTGGCTAGGAATGGGTGGGGTATTGATTTTAGCTTTATTTGGCATTACTATGGTTATGCCAAATTCCACAAACAGATCACTTGAGGCCTGGAAGGAGATGCTTGGAGAGCAGCCCCCCTTCACTTGCGGTGGGGTTTAGAGCAAAAGCGAAGTAGGAGGTGCTTTGATGGAAATAAGGCACCTTTTTCGGGTGCTTAAATTCTCAATTCTGTGTTTTTTATTCTTTTGGGTTCATAGGTAGAATTGTAAATTCATATAGGCTGTGTTCGGCTGCATGGAATTGGATCCTTGAAATTGGAATTGGAGAAAATTTTAGTTCAATTTACTAGATCTCTTTTCTCCAAAGCTCCAATTCCATGCAGCCAAACATAGCCATGAGAATTTGTGAATTTTGTGGATGCTTTGAGTATAGAGGGCTTTTATTTTTGTGCAATTGTAATTAGAACGCGCTCCCCTTTAGAGGGCTCTTTAATGAATCTTTACTTATCCCAAGAAAAAAAAAAATCTCATTTCAACTACATAAATGTGCAGTTCTTGTTTCTTTTTTCACACCCTACATTCCGCTCTATGTATTATAGTTGGCCTAATAATCAACCTATAAAAATTTTCTTGTTAATTATTTCATATTCGTATATCAGATTGAATGCCACTAGCTTGTCTCTATTTTGTCTTCAATTTTCTAAGTCACTTTTCTCCAATTCCAATTTCAAATCTCCAATTCCATGCAGCCGAACATAGCCATAAGAATTTGTGAATTTTGTGGATGCTTTGAGAGTATAGAGGGCTTTTATTTTTGTGCAATTGTAATTAGAATGCACTCCCCTTTAGAGCGCTCTTTAATTAATCTTTACTTATCCCAAGAAAAAAAAAATCTCATTTCAACTACATAAATGTGCCGTTCTTGTTTCCTTTTTCACACCCTACATTCCGCTCTATGTATTATAGTTGGCCTAATAATCAACCTATAAAATTTTTCTTGTTAATTATTTCATATTCTTATATTAGATAGAATGCCACTAGCTTGTCTCCATTTTGTCCACCCTACTCCAATCCTATTTATTACAACGTCATCTCTCTCCAACATGTTGTATCATGGAGTCATAGACCCTAAAAATGAAAATGGTTATTTTTAGTGACCTTTTTGTCTTGAATTGTGATAATTATGTTGTCGTACTCTACTACCTTTTTAAACTTAAGTCATGCATTCTGATTTAGTCCTACTAATTTTTATCGCTTCAAAGACATTTTTCCATGCTTCTAATTTTTATTGCCAGGGCTTCCTTACAAATATCCAATAGAACTTTTATTTGCCAACAGGTATAGCCAACCTAAGTCTTCACAAGTTTAGCAACCAACGAAATTTATTTTATAGCCATAAACAACAAGGTATCACAAAAACTTGTAGACACAAAGGCACAGTTTTGGAACTAAATAATCACATCGCACAAATGTTTATTCTCATAATCCGGTTTAGGTGGATTTTTTTTTGATAAGTAACCCTGTTTGGGTAGATTTCACACTAAAAAGATAAAACATTTTGGCATCATGCTCTCAAGAAAGGAATAAGAAAATAAAAGATGTACTACATGGGTCACAATGGAAATCCATAAAATTAAAAAGAAAAAAAGAAAAAAGAAAGAAAAAAAAACGTAAATAAAATTTTTAAAGACTTGTGAGTTATGAGAGATGCATTTACCTGCTGGGACTGTATGTTGGACTTGAAGGGGAATAAGACGGGGATGTTGGTGAATACGATGGTGATGTTGGGCTGCAAGTGGAAAAATGAAAAATTGTACAATCAAATGTAAGAAGATTAAACCAAAAAATCTAAGTGATGCTCCAACTCTTCCAAAATACACCACCAACATGACCAACAATTATAAAATAAAAGCAACAGATCTAAGATGAGCATTTTAACATCTAAATGCAGCTAGGCATCTCAGTTGGCTGTGATTGTGATTGCTAGCCTGTAGTCCTTTGACTGCATAAAGCTGAGACCAAGCAGGGAAAAGTAAAGCAGGCATTTAACTCCAGAGGTAAGAAATTATCGCATACCTGTAATTAGGAGATGTTGGACTGTATGGACTGGAAGGCGACAGTCTTGGACTGCTGGGAGAATAAGCCAGGGACGGGCTGTATTTTGCTGATGAAGGATTATAACTTGGAGATGTAGGGCTGTAGCTTGGAGAAGTTGGACTATAGCTTGGAGATGTAGGACTGTAACCCGGAGAAGTCGGGCTATAGGCAGGAGACGTGGGGCTGTAGGACGGAGAAGTAGGGCTGTAGGACGGTGAAGTGGGGCTGTAGGACGGTGAAGTGGGGCTGTAAGAAGGTGAAGTGGGGCTGTAGGATGGAGATGTTGGACTATATGACGGTGAACTGGGGCTATACGCAGGAGAAGTGGGGCTATATGCAGGAGAAGTGGGGCTGTATGCAGGAGAAGTGGGACTGTAGCTAGGAGAAGTGGGGCTGTAACTTGGAGATGTGGGGCTGTAACTTGGTGAAGTAGGGCTGTAGCTGGGGGAGGTTGGACTATAACTTGGTGAGGTTGGGGAGTAAGATGGACTTGTAGGGGAATATGTAGGACTTGTGGGACTATACCCTGGAGAGCTTGGACTATATGTTGGAGAAGTTGGGCTGTAACCAGGTGATGTAGGGCTATATCCAGGGGAGGTTGGGCTATAACCAGGTGAGGTAGGACTGTATCCAGGAGATGAGGGACTGTATCCAGGAGATGAGGGGCTATATCCTGGAGATGATGCAGGAGAGAAACCCATACCACCAACATATGGAGAAAATTGTGCATCTGTAATGGGTGACAAGCGAAGATTTGGGCTCAGCAAGTAATTAGGTGACATCATGCCATCATGGTAAGGTGTACCCGTGATTGGTGAACGGGAAGGCGTCATGCCAAATTCAAGACCTTCCATGTAACTAGGGAGCTGGATGTCAATAGCTTGCTGCAGCATCTGCTCATTCAGATAGAGTGCACAATCTCCTGTACCAATAGGGGCAAGCTGACCCAACATAATATTTTCAGTTACTCCCCGGAGGTAATCTGTCTCAGCATACACAGCAGCATCAAGAAGTATGTCCACCGTTTCCTCAAACGAGCATCTCATCATCGGCCCAGTGTCATTTCGATTAATGCCATGACGAGTGATTGCCATCAAGTGACCACGGTATGTCATCGTGTCACACAATATAGCCAGATGCCTATAATTCACATATGATCCATCAAAAGATATGACCACACGCAATTCATCCAGCAAGGACCGACGAACTGCTTCAATTCCAAGAACTTCAATTACTTCAATCAAGTGATTGCTAGTTGTTCTCCTAGCATCAACATCCTCATGACATATAACAGCTAAAAGATTGACACCTTCAGTATCAAGCATCCACTCATTCTCTGGCTTGAATCCTTCATTTTCATCAAATTTATTTACTTTGCCTGATTTGATAAACACCTTGTTAATATCTGGAATACCTCGAAGGGCCATTTCTGTCAGCATGTTACTTTCAATCTTCTTGAGGAAAACATCATCTTCTGCAGATTCATCATTCAACTCTCCTTTAGGAGCCTCATCATTCATAATGCGAATACGCAAAATCAATTTTTCAGCATTGTCATCATTGAATATGCAGGTTAAATCATCATCAAACTCAAGATTGATCTTCTCAGCAATATCAGCCATGCTCAACTTCTTATCAACCATCATCTCACGATTTAATTCTATACGAAGTAGCCAGGGAGAAATTTTCTCAGGGGCAATTTCTTCATCCGGCATTTCATAGTAAGACTTGACAAAATCAACATCCTCTTCTATGATGGTGCTCATCGGGTCTGGATCATACCATACTTCAGTGGCTTGAGTTACACTGCGCAGGGTAGTGTATTCCAGAGCACACTGGACATTCTTAGCCCTCTCTTTTGTCTTGCTGACTTCAGGCTTCAGGTAGACAGAAAGAGAAGGGGTTTTTATTTTTTTTGCCACGTTGATAATTTCCCTTAACCTAGGAACACCAAGAGTTACATTCTTGGCACTCACACCAGCATAGTGGAAGGTGTTCAGAGTCATTTGAGTGGCAGGCTCACCAATGGACTGGGCAGCAACACATCCAATCATTTCTCCAGGTGCTACAAGTGACTGTAGAAAACGAGATTCTATCTCACCAATAACCCACTCAAATGCTTCGCGAGTAAGTCTGTACTCATTCAACACTCTCTTACTGGCAAATGTGCTTCGGAGAAGTATGTTGAAGAAAAGGGTGGCATTTTTCTGAGCTTCCATGCTCATCAAATCGTCACCAGGGACAACCTTCAGCCTCTCCTGAAGCTTATCAACAGCTTCCACAATTTCCATTGGATGCATATCAGATGGTCTTCTCAAGTCAACCTTAAACGTCTTTTGCGCATTCCAAATAAGCCTCTTCAAGTTCACAGGCATAGGCCAAGAATTATCACCAGTTGTAGCAATCTCTGTTCCAAGCTGAAATCGATCTGCTTCAAGTTTCTGGACTTCAGCATCAAACACATTGCGAAATTCTCGAATTGTTTTCAGATCCTCCACATGTTCGGGCAACATGTAACTTGGATTCCAGTTCTCATCATCAATCTCATATCTAAAAACCTTATTAAACTCGAACTTCTTCATTTTAAGGGAGTCCAGCTTTTGTGATTCGATCCAAACAGCATCCATGCCATCTTCACCATATAAAAACTGGATAACATCCCCCAATGAGTTCCTAACAGTACCATCATATTTGACCATAATATCCTCCATAGCTTTCACTAGACGCCTCTGGATATATCCAGTCTCAGAAGTTTTCACTGCTGTATCAATCAAACCTTCCCTACCACCCATAGCATGGAAAAAGAACTCTTGAGGAGTCAACCCTCGTAGATAAGAGTTCTCCACAAACCCACGACTTTCAGGTCCATAGTCATCCTTGGTGAAATGGGGCAGTGTCCGATCTATGAAGCCATATGGAATTCGCTTCCCCTCAACATTCTGCTGCCCGACGCAAGCTGTCATTTGGGAAATGTTGATGAAACTTCCCTTCGAGCCAGCAGTAACCATAGCCTTGAGATTGTTACTCTCTGACAAGCTCTTTTGGGCACTACTGCCAGCATCATCACGAGCCTTGTTCAATACCTGTACAGGAAAAAAGTGTGTCAAGAAAAGCTAGAGGAAGTGACCTTTCAAGAAAAGGTTTCATATTATTCTTGAACCTGGTTCACTCTGTTTTCAAAAGATTCCATCATAGTCCGACCAGGCTCAGCCTCCAGCTGCCTATCTTGGGCCGCCCTAATAAGTTCTTTGACCTCATTCTTGGCTTTAGAAATAGTTTCATTAATTTTTTCCATAGTTGATGCATCTGCAATAGTGTCTCCAATACCGATACTAAATCCATTTTGTAGAAGCCAATAGTTAACAAGCCACTGGGTATGTCCCAGGAACTTGCGAGCAGCATCTGGACCAACCTCCTCCCTGCACATATCCATACTATTATTAAAAGTACAAAGAGTTTTAGCACAATATTGTGTTTCAGTACATATATTAATTTATTGTGTAATTAGATTTCCTTTTTAATTTTAACTACTTTAAACATATAATATTAAAAAATTAAACTACTGAAGAAAATCTAATTAGAAAAGGATTCAATAAAAGGAATATTTAGTCTCAAGAAAATCTAATTTAGAAAATTAAATATATAATATTAAAAAATTAAACTACTGAAGAAAATCTAATTAGAAAATGATACAATAAAAGGAATATTTAGTCTCAAGAAAATCTAATTTGAAAAGGATTCAATAAAAGGAATATTTAGTAATAATTATAAATAAACCAATTTTATTGTATATCTACGTCTTTCCTAAATAGCAATTTTACAATAATATATTTATTCTTCGCCCTTTTGATTTTGGTTCCAGGGTTTTTCCTTTTAATTTTTAATAATATATTTCTTCTTTGTCCTTTTGATTTTGTTTCTAGGGTTTTTTATTTTAATTTTTAATGTCTCTTATTATCAATTTCTTCTCTTTGTTTTGCTTCTAGGGACTTTTCTTTTAATTTTTAATGTCTCTTATTTTCAATTCATTTTCTCTGTTTTGCTTCTAAATTTGTTGTTGTTTTGCTTCTCAGGTTTGCAGCAGAAGAAGAATCAAGAGAAAATTGTAAGTGCTTGTGAATTTTTTTCAATTCATTTTAGTCGATTACCTTTTTTCTATTGTGAATTTTTTCAATTCATTTTCTGTGTTTTGATTTTTTTTTTTTTTTTTCCCCAATAATTGATTAGTAACCTTTTCTCTATCATGAATTTTTTCAGTTAACAAATTTAATTTTTTTCAATTAACAAATTTAATTTTTCTTTTAATTTAAAATTTCTCTTATTTTCAATTCATTTCTTTGTTTTGCTTCTAGAGGAGTTGTTTTGCTTCTAGGGTTTCAAGAGAGAGAAGAATAAGTAAAAGTTGGTTCTTGTTACCTTTCTATTCCATACAAAGTGTGGATTTTTAATTTTTTCAATTCTTTTTCTCTATTTTTAATATTTTTCAATTCTCTTTTTCTGAGAATTTTTGTAATTAAATAGCAACTTAATAACAAATTAATTTTTTCAAGTAATTTGAATTTTTCTTTTAAGTTTTAATTTCTCTTATTTCTTTTTAATTCGGTTTCTGGTACCTTCTATTTGTTATGAATTTTTTGAATAATGGATTAGCAACTTGGGAACAAATTAAATTTTTTTAGTAAATTGAATTTTTTGTTTAATTTTTAATTGCTCTCATCTTTTTTTATTTTGATTAGAACCTTGATAAATTTCTGCAAGTACAATTAAGTTTTTCCACACATATAGAAGCTATATTACTTCCGCTTGATAATTGTTTTGTTTAGTTTTGGATCACAATTAGTTTTTTACATACGATCACAACTAATTTTTTACAAATAGAAGTTATATTATTTTTCTTGATTGTTGTTTAGTTAGTTTTGGATCACAATTAATTTTTTGCTATCTGTACTTGATTATTGTTTACAAAAATTTTTATTAAAAGAAATAATAAAACTGCAATTCTAATTAATTATTTATAAAAACAATTTTTTGTTATAAAAGTTATAAACTAAACTTTAAGTTTTGACCACGTGCATCGCACGTAATTTTTACTAGTAAACATAAATGACCGTTGTCCAGAAATAACATCCACATATCATTTTCTGGTTATTGGCTTTTGTATACATACCAGATGACATGAATAAGACTTCCAGTGGATGTCCCAAGGGTTTTTTTGCAAAGAGTACCAGAAATGACTTCCCCTTTTTCTATTCTAACTTGAGTGTCTCCTGGGGTTATATGGCCTTTTTCGGATTCTGAATGCCAGGCTGACGTCCTCATGAGATTTATCTGCTTTGGAATGATAAGATTAAACACTTGTTTTCCTGTCCAAAGAGGTCTAGGCTTCAAAATAGCCGGCGCCGGTATTTTCCCATCAAAATCCTCCCACCACATCAGGATGTTCATGAAAACATCCTACAAGAAATAAATGAACAAGTAAATAAAATCAAAGGACGATGCTTGAAACATGAATAGGTCAGCTTGTTTAAACGTGTGTGTATATATATGTAACTTAACAAACAAATATAACAGAAAACCCTTATCACCTTCTCGATAAATGTATCTCTCTTAGTGATCTTACGGCAACCCAAAAGTGTGTCCTGCACAATACCCATAACTGGTCGATTTGATTGAGGTGACACAACACATTTAGGTACCATCATCAGCTCCAAAACCTCTGCCCTGGTTTCAAATGACTGAGGCACATGCATGTTCATTTCATCTCCATCGAAATCTGCATTATATGGGGAAGTAACAGATAAATTCAAACGGAATGTGGAGTATGGCATAATCTTGATTCTATGTCCCATGATGGACATCTTATGCAGACTCGGTTGTCTATTAAAGAGAACAAAATCTCCATCATTTAAGTGCCGCTCCACCTGCAAAACCAATGTAACATATTCAAAGGTCATTATACAGTAGGAACCTAATTAACAATTATTTAAAACAAGATGATGGTTGCCTTGTATCCAAGCTCCAAATGGTGATCACTGCTTTTCTTTAAATAACGGAGATCAAGCCTCTGACCATCTTCCCTAATAATGTACTTGGCTCCTGTTTTGCCTGGGGGAGGATGAGGGCCATATTCAACAAGTTCCTTTAGCCTAACCAGAAAGGATGATAGTTATTTACAACAATAAAACCTAGCACATAAAAGAGTATAACCCCTTAATGCCTCTAAAAAGAGCAGAAACCTTTCAATGTTATAAGGAGTGACAGTTTCTGGATATGTTAAGTTTAAAGCAATACTCCATGGTACTCCCAGTTGATCAATGTTGATGGTGGGATCTGGTGTAATGACAGTCCGTGCTGAAAAATCAACTCGTTTACCCATCAAGTTGCCTCTAATCCTACCCTCCTTAGCCTTGAGCCTACTGCATATTGACTTGATAGGACGGCCTGACCGCTGTGTAGCCTGAAAAGTATAGAGGAACTTCACATGATACCCCAAATAAAATCTAAATATGTAACCGTAAGCATGTATAGATGCAAGCATACCCTTGGCTGTCCCGGAAGTTCATTGTCAAAATATGTAGCAACATGGAATTGCAATAACTGCGCAAATTCAGAAATTATGTGTGCTGGAGCCCCATTTCTCTCCTGCCTCCTCAGATTCTCATTATGTCTAATGATCATGGCCAATTGATGAGTTAAATCATCCTGATTCAAAGGGAAAAGAGAAAAAGAAAGAATAAACAACTACGATATTGAAGTTTAGCTTTGAATTTGTATAAAAAATCAGGTTGCCATCAATAATAATGTGACCTTCCCTTTAATAGGTTTGACCAACAAATCACCATGTTGGAAAATATAACCTATCAGTTTACTAAAAACTCCATCCAGCGGAATGCCAAAAAACCCACAAAGAAGTCATAGATTTCAGTTGCAGGACCCCCTTCATAAGAGAGTTCAAGAGAGCAAGAAAGACTTGCCTCGCTCCGTGCAGAAGTATCCATCATCACAGAAGGTCTAACTGGAGGGGGAGGTATTGGAAGGACTTGCAGTATCATCCAATCTGGACGAGCATACTTAGGATTCAAGCCCAACAAAAAGCAGTCTTCATCACTTATCCGCTTCAGGACATTTAGAACCTGGGAATCATCACATGCCATTAATTTTAAGCAGATACACACGTGCGCACACACAAACACGTATATATACGTATAAAAGTATAAGCATTTCCGTAAAGGGTTACCCTTTCGGCTGAGAGCTGTTGTTTCCTTTCAACAGGTTCAGGAAGCTGCTCTGGGTCATCGCTTTTCTTCTTCTGAATCTTGTATTCAGCAATAATTTTCATACCTTCAATACTGAGCTTTGGCTGCTGTGCACCGCAACCCCCTCTACTCTTTTTAACTGGTTCATCAGCATCTTGACCTTGGCCATCAATTTCATCACCACCTTCACATTTGGTTTTGCTCTTGCAGGCATCCAAAATCTTTTTAAGCCTATTTTTCGGATTTCTGATTTTCTGAGCTTGCTTAAATTTGTGATCCTCCTAAAGAAGTAGGAACTGAATAAGAAAAGCAATCTCCAACAGTATATGCTCAGAAATTTAGGGGAAAGAACAAGGGAAACAATCAAAGAACGGTCAAATCATATATCAAATAGGTAGAAAATATGAAAACAAAGGAATTGATAGAATAAGTACGGAAAAGAATTAGTCAACAGGATCGAAAGTGACATATAAAGCTCCAATTTGAGAAGGAAAAAAAAAAATTTGGAAGTTCAAGGAAGAACTAGATCCAAAACTGGGCAAAATTAGAATAAAGAAAAATTTAACACTTGGTAATTAAAGACAGCAGGAGCACTAAGGCATCAAGGGTTCCCTGGAGCATAAGGTGTTCAATAAAGCTAAAAATTAAGCGTTGGAAATTTTAAGTTATACAGTTTTAATTACTACTTGTAATTTTTTTTTTTTATAAGCAAAGTATTATAAATAAGTGCTGTTTGTTAATTAAAAACCTCCACCATAGTTGTTTAAATTGCAAGTGTTTAGTATTAAGGGACAAGTGAAATCTCTCACTTAAAAATTTAATCCTACTTAATGGAACTCAATCTTTTAAGCGATGGTAAAATTATTTTGTCACACGCATTTAATCAGATAATTATTTGATAATGAATTATTGACTGAGCTATCAAACCCTAAACAAGCATAAGGCGCAACGTAAGACCAGATCCTAATCGAAGTAATGCAAATGTGTGATAAAAAATATATATATAGATATAGGTACAGAAAAAAATAAATAAATAAAACTAGTCAAGATCAAAATAAAGGAATTTTTCAATATATTAATTCAATCAATAAGTTGAAATAATAAAATATATATATATATATATATATATATATATATATATATATTACTTGTACATCAATTCAGTATAATCAATGTAAAATCGGAACAACTCAATTTATGCAAAGCAACTCATCAAACTTTCTTCAAAAATGGAATTTTCAACCTATCAACCAAGAGGATCATGTAAATCAACGTGCATAAATTCTTTCAATATGCATATGCATTAACTAAATCAAATGCCATTGCAAACGTGAAACAATAATAAATAATTAAAAAAAAAAAAACTGCAGTAATCAGTAATAGACTTTAACATATATTATATCAGCAAAAGTATTCGGAATGAAGCACTAGACGAAATTAAAGTGAGTAGTCACATATAAACTTATGAATTCGATCAAATATTTGATAAGATTAAACAATATGACCCATTGGATAAAATTGTGATTGGATATCCAGCATGCTAATTTAATGGACATTAAAAGAAAAAATGAAAACAATATGACCGAAATATTTAAAAAAAGAAAAGAAAAAAGAAAGGCCCAATTGGTTTTCAGTCTGGCCTATAGTAGGTTGAGGCGCTCAAGAGTCTGCGACATTTTTGGGGGCTTAAACACGCCATTAACAACTACCGTGTAGTACCCGAGAGGGGGGAACAAAAGTAAACAACCAGTGAAGGAGGGAGGGGAAAAAACTTTTTGCCTTGGAGGCTGGAATACAGATGGGACTCAAAGAAATCCTGAAAATTTTCCTGAGCTCAACCAACCTCTTAACCAATAAATGCTACTTGGGGTGGCCAGCCCCATTCTATGTAAGTCTGTAAATCACAGACTTATTAATGTAACTTGAACTGCTGCATAGCCTGTATGATTTAAGACGAAACATGGAGAAATCAAGTGAACCAAAAGTAGCATAGCAATTATGCGGTAAAATAAACATCCATCAAGAAAAATTACTAAATTTGCTCAGATTCACTTTAGAATCCCTTAGTCCTTTCACAATCACAATAAAGTTTTATAGATGAATATTTCATACCCTACTTACAACTACAAAGATAATAAATCCAACTCCAATTTCCAATATACAAACATCATATATAAATAGTAATCCAGTGGAATCAAAAAGGAAAAATGAAAAATACCTTAAAAACATTTCAATATGCAAGAACAAATTACGGTACATTAGGTAAGATAGCTAGCACCAATTCTACATAAAATAAAAAATAAAACTAATTAAAAGTGTTTGGCCACGTGCAACATAAAACAACAACTCGATCAATAACAAAGAGCAGTGAGGTCCACATTAAGGAAAGATAATGCTAAAAGGAGGCGGAGAAGACCAAAACTAACATGGGTTGAGATAATAAGGAAAAATATGAAAGCATATGGTTTCACCAAGGCCTTTAATAGAGCGAATAAAGAAACAGTATACATGTATGTAGTTCACACCAAACAATTGGGAAGAAGATTTAACGAGTTAATTTTTTTTTTTTTTTGTTTTAGCAAGATTTGTATAAAAGACACTCAAAAGGGGAGCGTTCCCAAAGAAGACAACAGCCGACCAAAATCAACACTATAGCTTTAAGCTATCCACAAAATCCAAAAGACAATCCATTAATGAGTTACGTTGAATCGAGCGTCTATATATTTATCTACGTGTAAACTCTACTCCTTAATGATGTTCAGTAGAAAAACTCCGCCAAAAGAGAGATTATTTCTAATATATTGATTGGTATAAAGATGAAAGGCCCATCAAACAAATGAAAAAAGTTAACGTAAAACAAACACGCCACAGATAGAGGAAATTGAAGGCATTGACTTCTTTAGATTTAAAGGAACTAGAAAGGAATTCGGGTGGTTCTCATACTTCGCAATTATCAAAGAATAAAACCTCAGTACAAACATACATGAGAAGGGTCAATCAAATACACATGCAACTTGCAACACATAAGTACTATTTGTTGTGGTATACATATGGACACATACAACATAGACACCAAAATAGATACACCTGCGAGAAAGGAAAGATTATTTATATAGAAGGCAATAGACAGATAAAGTTATTCTCTCTTTTGTACTTATCAAAAAAAGAGACAGAGAGGTTGACAAAAACTAACTTGGAATGAAATAATTACAAAATGAATTAAGAAAAATTAAATATAAGAGGAAACATGATGTGTAATAGAACAGAATGAAAAAAAAGAGTTCATGGGACCAACCCATTCAATTGATGTAAAGGTAAAGATGACGATGATGATACACACGCCACGTACATAAGCCATTACCTTCTATTTTCTTTCTTTTTTTCTAATTAAGTATGAAGCATTCATTATGCTCCAAATGTTATATTCAGTTTGAGTATTAAACACTAGCAAAGACACATTTTATGCCCATTTAACAAGCTAGATTGATCATCTCGGATAAGTACAGATTTTTAGGGTTTAAAAACTAGCACTCTCTTGATCCTTCGTATCTTGGACTCTCACACTCAGCAATTTTTTTAATTTCCCTTACGCAGACATGCTAGAGTTGCTAATATTATAGCCAATTCACATTGGTCCTGGCCCCCCCATAATGTTTTAATGGATGATATTAGACTTCGTATGCCCCCCTTTCCCGATCCTTCTTCATCTTATAAGGTTAACTAGTCCACCTCCCCTGCAGGTCCAAATCTAAATCTGCTTGAGAGAAACTTAGACCTAAATCTGATGCAGTTCCTAGGGTTGCTCTGATTTTGTTTGTAAAATCTGCTCTTAGGATCAAGTTCATCCTTCTGGCTAGCCATAGATGTGAAGCTTAACACCAAGGACAAAAGTTGTATTTTCAATCCCAATACCAGCATTATTTACATTCTTGGAAATTCAGCTGATGAAACCCACTGGCACTCATTCTTCTCTTCCTCTTTATCCATCAAAGTTTGGAAGTTCATGTCAGAATTATGAAGTGATATGCTATTTGTTCCTCTTGAACATATCTCATTTAAGATTTATCCAACAAAAGGACGGGCAAAGGAATTTCCAAGGTTGATAGATGATCTTCTTGGCTACTTATGTCCACTAAATTTGGTAAGAAAGAAATCTTTTAGTCCCAGACCAGGATTTAGGATGCCATTCAACTAATTACTGTTTCCTTATTCAGGGTAACTAAAGTCACGCCCCGACATTGGAGGTTATGCTGCGCAAGCGACGCGCGCGCTAAGTAGGATGCTGCATGGCGTCTACATGTCATGGAAGGTTTGAGTTCTACAGAGTTGTGTGGAGTAGTCTGGAGAGTTCTACAATGTTGTAGATATGTGTAGAATAATGTACATTGTAGTAGAAGTGTAGAGAAGATGGAAGAAAGTTCTAGAGGAACGATCTCCACCGTAGATTGGAGTGCATCTTAGCCGTCCATTAGGGAGTGAGTTTCATTTGTAAGGTAGGAGCTCCAAGAGTAGAAACTCCAAGTGTGGAGTAAGGAGCCAACAAAAGTGAGTCTTGTATAAAGTCTTCTTTGAGTAGTAATAGAAACATTCTTTTCTTGCCAACCAATTGTGCCTATACGTGTGTTTGAGTGTGCAAGCCAAGCCAGGAGAGGGAGAGAGCCACTACAACATTAGTGAGTGCATACGCGAGGAGTGTGTTGGCGAGGTGGCACACAGGAGTTAGGCTAACCAAGACCTTGCACGAGAAAAAATGGCGCCTTGGGGCCCACGGGAGTGACTAGAGTGGTGCTGAAACTCTGGGCCCGTGACATTAAGCTCCTTAAGGCTTAAAGATAGCCTAAGAGAAAATTTATTGCAAATGTCTAAGGGAAGATCTTCTTTCAAATAACTAATGTTCTTCCTGTCTTGTCTTAGCCCCTACTGTTCTAGGTTCTCCTAATGCTCTTGGGTTTATTTGGTGTTTGTTCTATCAACCTACATCTTGCGGATCCTTAATTTTGTCATTTTATTTCTTTTTCTGTTATGACTGATTGTTATCTTTCTCTTAGGGCATGTCCCTAGCAAATTTGCGAAGTTTTACTTTCTTAATTTCAATCTTATATACAAGATTCATCGACACTCATGCAAATGCCATGTCAAACAGCCATGTCACACAGTTTACCTTCGGTATTTACAAGTCAACTTCTAAAACTTAATCGAATACAAGATTGAACTCCCAAACCATCAATGGATGTCCCTATGCAGTATGCCAATCATCTAATACTCTTGAAAATTTAACTCAGAAACTAACGAAAGACTGAAAACTTGATATAAGCCGGTGAAGAATTTAGAGTAATTAGTTATCTTTTGAACTAATTAAAGCAAAAAGGTACCTCATCAGCAAGGATTTTGGAGCAATTGAAGCAAACACACCGCATAGTACTTAGTACTGTTTTCAAAAACCCTATATGGAACATGGGTTTGGCGAGCTCGAGATGCCCGAAATGCCCCGGACACTCAGCCATGTTGGCCATGCAGGTCTCACACTTCATCTTCCGGTCAATTGTACCCAATCGAGGGTCACTGAGTCCCCCCGGTTTCGGCTTGCCTCGCTCCGTTGTCTCACTGTGCTCGATCTGCACCACAGACATTTGCCTCTGCAAAAAGAAATAATAGATACAAGGTTAAACTAGACAAACCCTAACCATCAGTCGGTTACAGACAAATTGTTAAAAGAAAAGAGAAAGGAGAATGAGAATTTGGGTTTTCCAAAACTGTTGAACTACAATTTTCCCAACTTCTCTGTGCTTTCAATTTTCTCAGCAACCAAATATAGAACTTGAAAAAAAGTGGAGAATATTACGATCTCATCTGGGCTAAGTATGCCGAACTGGACCATGCGGACTTTGGCTACCTCCGCGGGAGAGAATGGAAATCGCATATCCATGGCTACCACAGATCGATGGTAAAGATTTCAATAATTAGGGTTTCAAAACTATTCATGAAAACGCACCGTCGATCGATGAGGATTCCAAAAATTAGGGTTCCAAACTATTCAACTAAACTTGGATTTTGATTGCAATCAGAGTAAACAGTTGTGAAATTTACTATATTTTTCAAATTTAACGGATTTTTTAAAGTGGTTTTTGAAGAGAAGTGGATAAATCTATCGTACTGTTTGAGAACTAGGCTCTCTCTCGCTCTCGCTCAGAGATCGCGAGAACTATATGGATGAAACGGCGGTGTCATATGAGGAATATATATAATGAAATGATGATATTTTTATTACGTAGTATAATCCGAAATAAGCACGCATGGTGCGCTTTCCATTATCAAAATACCCTCTTTCTTTTTCTTTTCTTATTTCCTTTTTTTTTTTTTTTTTTTTTTTCCAAGGTAAATGATTTTATAGATGAGAATAGATACAAATTTACAAAGGGCCATGCAAGACCGAGTGAGTTCACTAGCTGGGCGAAGCAATATTCAACAAATAACGACAACAAATTACGAGGGCCTACTTGATCGGTAATTCTGAAAATAATTTTTTATTTTTTAAAAATTAAAAGATAAAACTATATAAAAAAATTTTACTTTGTTTAATTTTATGAAAATTCAGTTATAAAAATATCTGTTTTTATATAATTAGCTTTTATTATTGTCTTAAAATTATTTTCTATTATTTGAATTCTTAAAAAACTATTTTCAAAGTTTTAAACCAAACATGCCCCAAGCATTCACTAGGCCGAGGGCAAAGCCTACAAAGACATTGCTAGTATAGAGTTATCTAGATTATTCATGTCAAAGTCGTAACACCTTTGATGTAATACAGAGCTAGGGCGTGCATATGATACCTTAATTGATCAATCTAGTGGTTCCGTCAGTGGGCGAATGAACGACGAGGGCAGACTCCAATCCCGCATGAGGCGACAAGCAAAAGGTGAGTCCTTTCCGTTTCAAGTGAGCAATTTATGTCTTACCAGAATGGTGATTTGCCTCAAGATCCCCATTTGTGTGCACTTCTGATTCTTGAAAATTCTGTTATTGCGCTCCATCCAGATTATATTGATAGCAGTGGAGTGCTGCAATGATCGGTTTAACCAATGATGTGTAGCCCAAACCACCAGAGTGTTCCATGTTGATGGCGAGACATGAAACCTGCACATGTTCTGAAGAGAAATCCAGAAAGGTCTTGTGAAAAAGCAGGCAAAAAAGAGAAGATTGTGAGTTTCATCCACGATGTTGCAGAGATGGCAAGCTCTCAAACCAGGGACTTCTGTAATACCAATAATTTTTAATATGATATATTTGGGATTTAATTATTTATTTTATTTCATTTTTATTAATTATGTGGCTATGTGAATTATGTATTAATTTGATTTAATTATTTATGTGATTTATTGGTGTACATTTAATTATTTGTTTGTCTTGTTTAAATGATGTGTGCTTATTTGTAATTAATTGTTAGGATTAAATGTTTTATTTGTTATTTTTATTATATTTTATTTTAAAGGATGGATTTAGATAGTAGTAATAAACCAACCAAATGGGTCACATGGACTACTTGGATAGGAGGCCTAGATGGGTAAGAATTACGACCCATGGATATTGGTTATATAATACATTTATATTGATGTGTGTGTGTGTGTGTATATATATATGATTAATAATAATCATACTAATAATAATATCTATATATATATATTGTAATGATCCGGTTATTTTCCTTCCTTTCCTTTTTCTCAGATTTTTACGAATAAATTTTTTCCGTTGATTTTTCTTTTCTGAGTACGGTTGCTCGTCAGTTAGTGTCGTCTTGAGTGCCCGAATATGGTTTCCGAGACTCTTTCATTTGGATTGATAACTTCCTTAAAGGATTGCGTCATTTCTACATTTTTCGTTTTTCAACACTATGCACTTTTCATCATTTTTCCCCGTTTGTCACTTTGTTGGCATAACCTCACTTTTCATGTTCAGAGTTGAGTTTTGACTTCACGAGTTTTTATTTACTTTTGGAGAAAAGCTTGCCGATTGTTTTATTCTCCCGTAGAGGCATAGATGAAAGGATTCTTCAGAAACATTAATGTTCTTGGGGTGTTTTTCATAAATATCTTTTGGGCAGTTTTGTAGTTACCCTTTCTTGGAGGGGTCATTGTGCAATTAACAAAAGTTATTGCAAAATACCTCATTTTGAGCTTAGATCCTCGTATGGGATTCATTTTCAAATTTCGTCGAGTCGTGTACTCTTAGAATTTTCTCACGGTTGTTTTCCCTAGTTTTAGGGTTTTCGGCCCAAGTTAACGCTGAACTTGTTCGGAGCATATCTTCCTGCACGGGACTCAATTTTCGACCCTATTTCTTTCGTTGTTTTTTTTTTTTTTGGTTCTTTTTCATTCACGATATTTTATCGTTTGAGCGCGTCTGCACAAATTCCACTTTTTTTGACCCGGTAGGGCACTTTTAGGGTTTTACTATAAATAGGGGGTTATAAAATTAAAACATTTGATTTTCTCTTCTTCTCCTACATTCAGCAATAGCCATGGCGGCCCAAGGGGCTACCACCTTCTTTTCTTCTTTTGCACCTTCTTTCCTCGTGTAAAATGTCGTAGTGTCTTAGCGTTTATCGTAGGCCTTGGCGAGGTGGACCTTTCCCCCTTATTAGAAGCCGATTCCAACCATTTTTGAGTTCAGGTTTAAATTTTATGGTGCCTCAAAGGTTAAAGTTGCTTCCCTCATGGTCCCCGACATAACCTAGGAATATCGTCGGATTCGGAGCGTTTTCGTTTCGGTGGGGATTTGTGATTTCATCACAAAATAAGGTAGAGGATGTTTTAGGTTTATATATGTGTTGTGTTGATGGTTTTATGAGCATATACAACTTGTAGGCATGCTTTTGTATTAATTCTAGAATTTAATTTAATTATTTTCTTTGTTTAAGATTTAATTCTTATGGTTGTATATAACTTGGAATTAAATTGTAGCATACTATTAAATTAAGCCTTGATATGCTTGTTAACATATATTAAATTGTGTTGATTCATGTTTGATCAAGTGTTTTGCACTTTCAATGTCAAGAGTATTCTACGTTCTGAGGTTCAGTAGCTCACGGTTCAACACAAGGTAATGAAGCTTTAGCAAAACTTATGGTTCAGCACTTACAAGGCTCAGCCATACACATGGTTCAGCACTTACAAGGCTCAGCCATACACATGGTTCAACAGTTACAGGGTTCAACATTTAATAGTTCAGCACTTACAGGGTTCAGCATTTAATAGTTCAGCACTTACAGGGTTCAGCACTTACATGGTTCTGCACTTATAGGGTAATGAAGCTCATGGTTCATCACAAGCAAAGTTTTGATAATGGCCCGAGGGTATCTTAGCCAATCCAAATTATTAAGACAATTTGAAACCCTGTAGTAAAGGTGCATTGCAAAAATAGCCTTTGTATTCATACTGGAAGTTATCATTTTATTACATTCAACAAGGCTTGTGTATAAAGTGTGCTATGAATGTGCTTAGAATATACCTGTGACACGTGGCTGTGGTCCATGAAAATAGTGTCCTCCAATGATGTTGCGGAACTCAGAGGCTAAGCAAAGATAAAAGTCATTGTGGTCTCACCTGTATGAACTAATTTTACTGATGCACAAGGTGTCATTATATGGTGAGAATAGTGACAAAACAGTTGAGGTGGCTGGCCAGCATTGGTGTATTGCTTTGAAAAATATCTGAATCATTCTTGTCAATGATTGGTGGAAGGTGACAGGTGTATTGGAGCTACTGTAATAGGGCTGCTGTGTGTGTACTGATATATATATATATATATATATATATATATATATGCTGTTATAAGGCCTTTTAGGGTGTGCCTCTTATGAAAAGAAAAGGGGCTGAAAATTGAGCTAAAATGAAGAACACTCGAGAGACTAAAAGAAAGATATTTTTCGGAGTGTTTAATCTGCCAAGAGAAATGAATTTGATCTGAGAACGGCACTAGCATGTGTGTACAATTTGAAGATCAAGAGTGGTGCTAATTGGTGCTGATTTTCTTAAGAAGAGAGAGGTCGAGGTGATTCAAATTCTACTGTGGACACTTTTAAAGGTTGAACAAGGTCTGAGCACACATAACTTGATGATTTACAACTGTTGAAGGTGCTGAGGACTTCATATAGCAGTTGGTACAATCTTCCATACCTCAAACCTTAAGTTTTATTTGATTTTCTGGCTTAAGCTTCATAAATTGAACTTTATATGTCATTGTCATGCTATACCTTGAATGTCCATCATCTGAGCATATTTATATAGTTGAAATACACTTGAGATAACCAAAATCCAGGAGTTAGTAGTGATAAAATACCAAGTTTACCCTTATAACAGAGTTACTGCAGAAATTGACAAGTGAAGCTTATTTTGATCAGTGATTTGGTATTTACTTACTGTAATATGCAAAATGGAAATTGGAGCATGCTTTATATGTTGATTGAATATTGTGAGAACTGAAATCAAGAAGGGCCATTCACGGATTTACAGAATTACCCCTCAAAACAGAAAGTTACAGTACAACTAAATATACTTGTTGTAACCTGATATTTAGCTGTTGTTTATGCTGCATTGTTGAGCCTTAGTTAATTTATCTTGTCCCAGCTTCAAACCAAGTGTGATTCATCGTTTTAAAGCTATGAGAACCTTTGGTTGCTGAGAATATGAACAATACTAATGTTGTGTGTAGCATTTGCTGAGAATTAGCTTTATAACCTTAATATTGCTGTTGTTCACTTAAACTGAGCTATACATTGCTGTGTTGAATGAGTTCATTGTGTGAGAAAGTGTATATGACATACTGAAGACTAGGGGAGTAAGGTTTGGGGTGTCCTTAAGGCTGATTTACAGAATTGCCCTTGAAATCAGGCTGCTGCTATTTTCAGTTTAAAATAGCCTGTTGTGTGCTGTCAACTACTGAAATTTGTATTGAACCTTTATAACTTGCTTGGTTCTTGAATCTAATATGTTGAGCAAGTGTAAAATAAAGCTTAGGAGTAGAGATTGCTGAGGTTTGATCTGGACGAAAAGGCTACATTGTTGAGTATTTGTGCTGCTGCCTGTTAAAGCTTATTTGTTGAACACAAACTGCTTTGGGGCTGACATTGTGTTATCTTGCTGTGATTAATGTATCTTTCATTTGTGTAAGCGTGTTTTAAGATTATAAAACTGTGAAGACAGAAAAAGGGGTCCTTGAAGAAGATACTCTATGAGTTGACTGATTTAC